AGAGTGAAGTGGTAAACAAAAAGGATTGTGGCAAGGAAAACAATGGTGATGACGATCGTGATGAGGTCATTGGTGTGGTTCACCAATGATGGTGGTGATGGGGCCACATTGTTGGCTCAGAGTTCACACTCAAAACACATGAAAAGAGAGATATATATATATATATAAGAGAGTGAAGTGGTAAAACAAAAAGGATTGTGGCAAGGAAAACAATGGTGATGACGATCGTGATGAGGTCATTGGTGTGGTTCACCAATGATGGTGGTGATGGGGCCACATTGTTGGCTCAGAGTTCACACTTAAAACACATGAAAAGAGAGAGAAAGATTGTCCAACAAATGAACACACCAAGATAAATTTAGAGACGCTTAAGAAACGCAAGCATTCATTATGGCAATCGGCATAGATGAAATCCATAACCAAAAATGTTAAACTATTCAGCTGGGAAATTCATGACAATAATTTTCAATACTTCTAAGACTAAATGAATAAGGGACAAGGGAATTCAACCATCTTCTCGTCGAAAATAATCTTTCTATTTTTATATGAATTATTTCTGCACCAAACTCCACCAGACCACTGATTAGGGCCAAGGAGACCTCACTGTGGTCGCCGGAAAGTTTTTCAGTAAGAAAAGTTTTAGTGACATGATGCGTGTCGCAAGGCGACACAGTCTATGTTGTTGGGCAACACTATCTGGGACTAACATTGATTATTAAGTTGAGGTAAGACCGGTGTAATCACAGCAGTTATCATGAAGAATCATTAGAGTTATTTAACTTGCGAGAAAAATCACGTCCATAATTTGGCAATTGAATCTTATATGCTTAGTGGTAGCTTCAAATACTGAAAAGCCAGTAAGTAAAAAAACTTTTGCAAAAAACTACATTCATAATTTGATGGAGCTTCAGATACTGAGAAGATGAAGACAAGAAGAAAACAACAAAATATCACATTTAAAAGTGACAAATAGCAACTACTTTATGCCCACTTCATAAAATGGCAAGAACTTCTCAGAAAAAAAATTCATAAAAGTACAGTTTTTGCCTTAGTATACATAGAGAGATAGAGATAGAGGGAAAAAGAGAAACTCCATTTATTCTTATTTTTTTAAATACGTTCACCATAATTCCAAGAACGAGAGCTTATATGAGCAAGTTAATACTCATTGCGAATGGTGTTGCATTTTTTTTTTTTAACTATGCAAGAAAACCAAATAGGAAATAACCAAGAGAAAGTTCACAAATGTTTACCAGGTTTATCAGTGACCACCACTGAAACTTCTCCATGGATTCTACCTTGAAGGCTGGCCTCATGCAAAGATTTGAAATTGGACCCTCCTCCTGAGACAAAAACTGCCAATTTCTTTCGTCGAATATGCAAATTCTCTTCCACCTCGTTCTTTAAGCGCCCACTTTCTGAATCTGGGGCAAATGCTAAAGCTTTGAAAGCTTTAGGCATTGGGTTAACTAGTTTTAGAGAGGGTGTATAGTTCTGTGGTCTCTGTGAGAGATAATGGAACGAGGAAGGGGGAGGAAGTGACCTGGAGAGAGAAAATGATGGAGTAGATGGTTGGAGGACAGAGGTTTTGGGCTCGAAAACTAGGCCTAAAAGCCCCATGTAAACCTGGGTTCAAGATATATATTATTTTACTTAGAGAGAGAGGTAGAGACGTAAAACGCCTGTCAATGTACCAGGAGATGCCTGTTCTGGAAATAGGCTTCTCCTGGAACTCGCCTGTCCCTGGGATAGGGGTGTATGTTGCTTGATAGCACTTGGTAAAAAATCTGGAATACGAGTTAAGAGGAGCTTGGTTATCCAGGTGAGAGAGATTCAATATGTCTATAATGTAGATTTGTCATCATACCTCCTAAAAATGGGGAATGCGAGTTAAGAGGAGCTTGGTTATCCCCTGCTAAGCAAGAATAATGAAATCAGGTAAATTCAATGAAGAAAAAAAAATATTTTTTTGACCATTAAATGTCCACATACCAATTAATCCATGCACTCCATGTCAAATCTCAATACTGAATACAGGCAACGGAGGTACAATATTTTTGCACTGTATAGTTTAATTCAACCAAGAAGTAAACGAAACAAAACAAATGAAACCAGTAGTCAAACTTCAATAACAAAAGAAATGAAAACAATGGCTGAAAATCATACATAAATAGGGAAAATAATTGATTTCAATGATTAGTTTGATTTTTTTTTTTTCACTATGCACTGGTTAGTTTAATTCGAATAAAAATCTTGAAATGAAAAGAACCAGGTCATGGACTAAACCCACAAAATATTAATGTCGTTTAGATGAATTCAAAAAATTGAAGCTACTGATCACCCACAGAAAAATGCCATAAAAAGAAGAAAGTTAACAACAAGATGAATATTATTTGATCTGGTATATTGAATAATCACATTTAGCATGCCATGAAGTGAAGAGGGCAAAACAACTAAACGAAAAAAAATAAAAAAATTTACTCACATTTTCTCCTCGCCACATACACATGCCATGAATTGAAGAGGGCAAAACAATAACTGAAAAAAAAAAGAAAAATTACTCACATTTTCTCCTCACCACATACACAGGCTCTTGATTGAATGCAGGGGAGCAATGGAATCATCAGCTGCATCGACATTTTCTCTACGCCACTGTTAGCCTGTCCACTCTCCATTATATAGAGAGAAACAAAAAAGCAAACACTAGAAAACGCCGGCGTCTTTAGAGATAGATTTATGGCGCTCTGGGAGGGCTTCAAAGTACCCCGGAGTGGGTGTCAGAGGGCTGCGAGCAGGGTCAGGGCTTCAAAGTTGCAGGGGGAGAGTGAGCAGTGAAGAGGAAAAGAGAGTTTTTTGTTTATCTATTTTATAAGGAAAAAGTTTATATAGAGCCGAGGCTCTAAACAATCAAATTAGAGCCCACTTCAAAAATTTCTTTATAAGAGGTCGTTTTGATGCCCAAATATCTTCAAATTGATGATCTCGGCAATCAAGATACATGAACATGTAAAAAAAAAAAATTGAAAATAGTGTATCATGTAACATATTTTTGAACTATCAATTTTCAAGGTTTTCAAGTTTCAATAGATCTGTTCGATCTACACTATTTTTTAAGCTTTAAATTTTATAATTAAATATAATAATTAAATATAAAATTATATTTTAAGGCTATCACAAAAGTTTTTAGTATCGAAACCATATTTCTCGACACTATTTGAAAGTGTACCTTACTTTGATTATTTAGAACATTGGTTCTATACAAACTGTACCTTTGGAAAAAGTTTATATAGGGAGCCACCTTAAAATCTAGAATTACATAAGCACCTCAAAAATCCATCAAAGAAAGTTGTTTTAATGTTAAAAACCCCTCTAACATGTGAGATTTATGAATAGGAAAAAAAAATAAAAAAAATTAGTCAACACTTTATCTAGGCCATCCATTTTCAAGATTTTATATGTTTATAGATCTACATGATTTTAACTATTTTTTTAATTTAAAATTTTATATTTCAATATGAAAATAAATTTTTTGATAATCTTAAAAAATCTATACCAAAATTATATGTTATGATCAAATTTAAAAGTACGCCTTAATTGAATTGTTTAAAGTTACAACCTCATAGAAACCACACCAAATTTATAATAAACCCAATATAATATACCTATTTGTTTTCTATTCTTACTGTTGTAGTTTTATTGCAGTGACAAAATAAAACCGAAAAAGTTTGTATAGCGCCGAGGCTCTAAACAATCAAATTAGAGCCCACTTCAAAAGTTTCACTAGAAGATATTGTTTTGATGCTCAAATATTCTCAAATTGATCATATCGACATCAAGATGCGTGGATATGAGAAAAAAAAAATTTAAAGTTTTGGAAATAGTGCATCTTGTAAAGAATTTTTGGACAGTCAAATTTCAAGATTTCATAGATCTGCTCAATCTACACTATTTTTTAATCTTCAAATTTTATAATTAAAGATAAAAATATATTTCAACGATATCACAAAGATTTCCAATATTAGAAACACATTTCTCGACACTATTTGAATGTGTAGTTTACTTTGACTGTTTAGAGCCTTGGCTCTATACAAACCACACCCAAAAAAAATAGGCCTACCGGGATATTTTTTTTCGTACTTCTTAAAACGATAGTAGTTATGCTAACTTATATAGTATTAGATGCGCAAGAGCCATAAATAAATTTGATTGATATTTAGAAATGCATAAATATAAATGTAGAATAGGTGAAATTATATCAACAACCACCTCCTAATATCTGGCGATCAAAGAAAATAAGTATAATCCAGTTATACTGAAGAATTTTTTTTGAAATAGCCTTAGATGTAAGGATCAAAACTATAATATACTTAATAACAAATAAGATTTGTTTTTAACAGGTTCAAATATATGACTGAATGACAATTAGGAATAAATTAATGTATGATAAATTTTTGTTAAATAGACAATTCACTAAAAAAATTAAAATTTATTAAAGATTGAAGGCTTTCAGAGCTACTACATTTGCTACTTGCTGACATGAAATCACTATGAATTTATATTGAAAAACAAATATTGGCAATGTGCCTCATAAAGTAACGTGTGTGTATTATATATCTATAGGAAAATATTGATATTAGCACACTAGTTCATATGAATACACACACTTACACATAACAAAAACTTCTAATTTACCTAACAGAGCCTTTGTATTTGTGAGGTTTAGTCTCTACGTGGCCTTAATAAAAACAAAAGTTAATAATTAGGTCACTCAAAGTGTTCTAAATATTTCTTATACATGATAAGGACACTGATTTGCTTTCTACTCTAAATTTTGTAATTGCCTCTATGTTTACCTCTTGTGCACAACACAATGAAAATCTCTCTTATTGAGAAGAAAATACAATATCAGATAGTAGAGATATAGCAAGCAAATACCTATAGCATCGATATAGACTTGGAGCTATATCCCTATGTACTTTTTTTTTTTTTGGGTAATTCAATGGGGAAGATTGGCCCCTATCTGTTTTTTCAATAGATCAGGGAGTTATATTTTGAAGGTGTTAATTGAGGGTATACGTGATAGGAATGGATACCACGATGTGGTAACTGGTATGGAGATGCTACCACTACGACCCCAGCCCATATAGACTTGAAGCTATATCGCTATGCTCTTTTTTTGTTCCCTTTTTTTTTGTTATAATTCAGTGGGGAAGACATGCCCCTACCCATTTTTTCAATAGATTAGGGAGTTATATTTTGAAGGTGTTAATCGGAAGTGTCAGTGATAGGAATGGATACCACGATGTGGCAACTGGATATAGAGATGCTACCACCACGACCCTAGCCAGATCCTGCTGTATCCCTATGCTCACAGCTGTATGAATGCCATATTTCCTTTACCATGTATAACAATAATAATATAACAACCCAAAAACCTAAACCCTCTATCCACTTCTTAAAGAAGAGCTATTTAGCCTATATTTCAGCATAATGGCCTCTGGATAGACTCTCTTTTCCTTAATATTATCAATATTTAGTTAGTTGGAGTAACATGGTCTCTTAATAGTCTTGCAAGTATGTGTGCCCTTGAACAAAATTATTCCTCACAGAAAAAACTTTTATTTTAGGAGTAATGTAAAAACTTAATAGAAAATATGTTTTTCTTTTATGGTTAATTTTATATTGTGTTTTATATGAGGCAGATTTAATGTTGATTCTAATGAGAATCGCATATCGTGATCAAAATCGGTGAGGAGTCTTCCCAATTTTATTTAATTTTTTAGCCTTATTTCTTCAATTTGCATGAAATGTTTATAATATTCCAAATCAATGAAATCATAGGTAAAAAAATTTTCCTTTTTCTTCATATGACGAATCTAATATTTTTAAATTTTTCTTTTGTTTATCCAAAAATTTTGTAATGTTAAATGCATTTTGTTGTTCGTGTCACTTTTAATCGCATCTTTTTGAAGGATTTCATATTTGTAGTCCAACTCGAATAAATCAAAGAAATGAAAATTGGGTTTTATTTTCTTTTTGAGCTCGGATTTTTAATTGGATATAGATGTATACTTTTTTATTTAAAAATGACTTAAATAATCACATAAACATGAGAAAGATGACTCTGCATTTTTTTTTTTCTTTTTTTCTGTTTTTTAGTTCATATCCGGCCCGACGCATATCATTCAAATGGAAGGCTGATCTACTCTAGTGCTCAAAGTTTTTAAATAATAATACATCTAAATGCTTAAAAACTCAAAATTCAATTCCAATTAGTAAAAATAATTAGATGGTAATTCTAAAGGACTTCTAAAATTTAATATTAAGTGAATAACCAAGTTAATGTTTAATGTGCTCCCGCACGAGCACACTGTAGTCATTTTAACATATTTTCAACAAAGTTTTGCTAAATTGAACAGAGAGATAAAGTCTCGATAGCCCTGAGCGAATTTTTATATAAAAAATTATGGTTTATATATTATATTATTTATCATCATTGCTGCCGCCGCCGTCGTCATCAAAGTTTATTCTCAATTATTTGAGGTCGACTACATGAATCCTGGTCTGCCATTTTGTTCTATCAATGGCTATATGCTCAATGAGGCCATATATCACAATTTATTTTCTCACTAATTTTAACTATATCTTCTGGGCTTACCCCTTGCCCTTTTTTAGCCTTCTACTTGAACCAACTCACACCTCCTACCCTGTATTGTATTGAGTCTGCGTTGTACATGCCAAGCCCACCTAAGTCTAATTTCTCTCATCTTTTGCCTATTGGAGTCACACATAAGTTATCCTGAATTTATTCATTTAGAATTCTATCCCTTATTGTCTTGTCACTCATCCATGTTATCATCCTCATCTTGGCTTCACTCATCTTATGGGTATGTTGTTTCTGGACCACCCAACATTCTACCCCATAAAACAAAGTTGGTCTTGTTGTCCTATAGAATTTTTCCTTTAGCTTTATTAGTATGCGGTGGTCGCATAAAACTTCGATTGCACATCTCCACTTCATCTACCTAGCTCTAATTCTATGTGCGATATCTTCCTCAATCTCTCTATTTTCTTGGATTATTGACCATATTATTTATATTATATACAATATATTCTATGTTATATATGTAGTATATCATATATTATATTATATTGAAGAAATGACATACCCTTTTACATAAGATTTTATAGTTTATGCATATTATATTATGAAAAAGTATACAATGAGGCCATTTACATTTGATACATGGTGGTCACAAATATCTTGCCCATTGAATGTAAAATTGGGTGGTTGCATTTATTCCATTGACCAAGCTCAAAGTTTTAATTTTATTTTTTTTCAAACTTTGCGACATTATCAAGCTCTCGAATTTCACATCGGATGGCCATAAGTAATTGTGACCTCCTTATACCAAAGATAATTGGTCTCATTGTATACAATCCCTTATATTATAATGTATCATATAGTATATTATATTAAGAAAAAGACAATAGCAATTAATAAAGGGTGGGGTTTGCGTAGAGCCGAGGTTCTAAACAATCAAATTGGAGCCTATCTTTAAATAGTATCGAGAAAAGTAGTTTCAATACTGAAAATATTTGTGATAGCCTTAAAATACATTTTTATATTTAATTATAAAATTTAAAT